AAAAAGTTTCTATTATCAACTTTCGTACAAGATTAAACTCAGAGAGCTTCTGAGCAAGCTTTATCTCAGAGAGCTGAAAATAACAGTAAATACCATCATATTCCAAGTCCATCATTTCAAAATAAATATATCCTCCTGTAACATTTATGAGAAATGGGTTAAAAAAGTCAGAGTTATAAAAAAAGATGTAAAAAAAAAAAAAAAAAAGAGCAAACTTACTACAAATATGTCCACAAAAAGACTTTACTTCCAACTCATTTCCACGTAAGGAAATTATGTTATTGATGCCTCCCTGACAAAGAATGGCTACCTTGTATAAATTATAACTACCGATTTGCTGTTTCTCGTGATGAAGAAATGTTTTACTTCGACGAAACATACTTCGAGATTATCGTTTTCCATAATTCGATACAAAGTTACATCGGGTCTTCTACCTTGGCTGCGTCCATAAGTAGTACAGTGACTTTTTGAAGACAAACTTTCAATATTTGCCCTACAAATATTAAAAGAATAATAAATAAATTCCAAAACGAGTTGAATTAAAATAACTTCTTACCAAATGATATCATAATCTGGATCACAGAATATTTCTTTAAAGATATCATGTATGTAATCATGAACTACAGTATCCTCGTTTCTTTTTTTTGAATCTGGATACATATGCATCCTTTCATAGCTTGAAGAAATATCAAGAAGTTATTATAGAAAAATAGTAAAAGAAAAATAATTAACAATTCTTACAATGAATGTGCAACGACTTGAGTTGCTTCAAATAAACATCTTTCATTATCTGAATAGATAACTCTATCATAATATCTTCCCCACATATTATAAAATTTTGATCTAAGCTCATCTATGTCATTTATTTCCTGTTTAATTGCAAAAAATATTAAGCAAGGCAATCTCAAACTGCATATACTGTATAAGACAATACTATACCCTTTCATATTCATCCATCATTTCTCCAAAAAAGGGCGGGACTAATTGTTTTGGTTGACGTACTGATGCACGCCACTCTCATTCTTCAACCTTTAAATATGATGGTTTCTTCATTTTTGTCAAATCAATAAACATAATATGATGAAGCGACCTATAAAATAGAGGTCTCATAAACATTCAGATATCTTGGCTTTAATTATCACAATGGTAAAAAACCAACATGAGGTTGGTTCAAACGCGAGGTCAATTAGTATTTTTATGATTACTAATTATTAACGGACTTTAAATACTAATTGACCTCATGTTAAAACCAACCTCATCTTGGTTTTCTCACAATGGTACTTACAAAATCGCTTCGCTATCTGATGAAAAACAGAAAGTTTCGCCATCCTCGAGTTTATCCACATTACTAATTTGAAATTTTCGAAATGCGTCTGAAACGTTATATTGTCATATAAACCACTAAAGACAAAAAAAATATATTAGCTAGTGAAGAAGTCTTCCTTCCGATATAAGCACAGACATGGCAAAAAATAAATCCAAACCTACGTCTTTCTGTGAAGGAAGGTTGTGAATCTCTTGACGTATTTTTAGATACGCTTCACACATCATTCGTTTGTTAGTAACGACGTCCCCATCCTGTGTGTAGACTATGCTAGTCACTTGAAAGACCAATATATATATAATATATATAAGTACTTTTTTTTTTTTACGTATTTTTTTTTTTTTTTAATTTCGTATTTTTTTTAATTACGTATTTTTTTTAATTATGTATTTTTTTTTTTTTTATGTATTGTTTTTTATGTATTTTTTTTTAACTAATTTGTTTACCTCATTTATAATTACTGGTGGTGTCGTCTCCGCATCTGGTTCCTGATCAAATGAGAATGATGTTTGTGCAAAAATTCCAGAAGAATCATTCGTAAGTGGAATTTTGTTTGTGCTATAAACGATGTCTTCATTCTTCATATAGGTTAAATTAGCCATTAAAAGGGCTGCAAGAAAAATTTGCTAGAAAGGCTATAAAAAAACTTGCTTATTACCTCATTTATAATCGTCGACAGAATTTCTTCTGTCTCCTCCTGATCGTGTACACATGATTCTAAGCAACTATCAAAAGATACATTCGTGAGAGGAACAGGTGATTCGCCTTCGAATATTAAATCATTATGGGTTGACTCCATTTCTGTACTGATAGTTCTAACCTGTGCACACATTTTGAAAAATAGCAAAGGACGTTTTTGAAAACCAGAAAGTTAAAAAATGGGTTGAAAACCAAATAATATGTTATATTCTGACTTTGCTAGGTGGTACAGAAGACGACTCTTCTTCGCAAGATCGCTTTTGTCCAGTTACATATTCAGCTAGGCCTTCAATCTGTTTTGTAGTTATTTTTCGCAGTAGATGATCTTGATTTCTGATATCCTTCGTCGCATCCAGAATCTGTCTGGTCTATAATAAACCTCTCAGTATACCAAATTAAGATTAAGTGTAATAATATACCAAATAAGCATTACTAACACGTTCAAGGTTAATTTGGTTATTCAATTCGTTCTTTGTCAGATTATATTGAGTATCGTTAGGAAGTGTATCAAGATAGATAATAATCCATTAAATTTCGAATATCTAACAACTCACTTGTTGCAACTGTGTTTTATCTTGAATGACTTGTCTTTCCATTTGTAAATCCCATAAAACGTTTATAAACCGTGATTTTTTATCAACCTCATCATAGAAAGAAAAGAAAATCATTTACTAAGTTTAAAAAAAAAGACATGACCAGCTGAAACGACCAGCCTATAAAACAAGCCTAAAACAACCAACTTGAAATAACCAGCCTAAAACAACGGACAAACACGTAGTTTTCCACTTGAAAAGTTAACTCACCCACTAACATGCATTTTAATGCATGCTCAACAACAGAACGCATTCTTTCCCACTGCCATCCGCAAATGACAGGGTAGTTGGTGACGGAGCATTAACCCGTTGCACTGAACAACTACATAAAATTATATGCTCACCAACAGAACGCATTCTTTCCCACTACCAACCGCAATTGGCAGGGTAGTTGGTGACGGAACAAATGCAACTCAGGCTGGTTGAGTAAGCAATAAATAGATATAAATAACTTGCCTTAAATGATGCCAACAATCGTTTTACTTGTTCCCCAACTTCAGTAGTTTCAGAATAATGATTCTTGATAACATATAAATCACTTTTATATTGACTGTATTCAGTTCCTTTATCTTCTACGCCACCTTCTTGGAATCGAAACTCTATAAATTTTTGAAGTGAAGGTCTGTCCGTTCTCCGCCAGAAATCTACATAGTCATAGACGATAAGTAACACTACAAAGTATTTTCATAGGAAGCGCTGCTACGGTTTACCTTTAGCTTTTAGAGCACTAAAACATTCGGATGATAATTGCATTTTTACGTCTTTAAGTGCATAAATACGCGCTTGTAACGTGTAAATTGGTATGAATAATCCCAGCCAATAGAAACTTGGGGAAAATTAGTAAATCCCAGAAATTAGGGTGGGGCACAGGGTTCTAGAGGACCGGGAAAACTATATATAAGGTCCCCGCCGCGAAGAGTACTTTAAAATATATTAATGTCACCACTTAAAATAATTAATAAAAGTCACGTGTTGAATCGGATTTTGTGAAGCTCTTTCCTTTTTGGGGGTTTATTACTATATTTGGAAGAGGTACATGTGAAGAAATAGCAAAATACAGTCAGGAGTTTTTCAAAATTGTGTAACGCAGATCATTTCGATTTATGGTAAAAGATCTGCAATTAGAATATTC